GGGCCAAAGAGCTGCATGTGTCTCGCAAGCCGCGGTTTGCCTACCACGAGTCTAGACAAGGCCTAACTCCAGGGCCTGGCTCTGAGGTACCTGTTTGGTGCCTCAGTTGGAGGCCAGGGCTCTTATTAACATCTCACCATTTTGGCAGGTACAGAGCTACAATGTCTTTAGCACTATTCCTGGAGAGAGAATGATGTATTTAGAAGAGTTATACTACTATTAGAGGACTAATTGTGTTAAATTCAGGGCATATTTAAAAGGGATATTCTTACAGGGTTTGGTTGATGCCCTCTGAATGTTTTCTTTGTGGGTGATAGACAGATGGTTGCAGCATTGAGACATTTGAACACATTAGCAAAACTGGGAAATACCTGGGTATAATGATCGACTCTAGTGCCTGGATAGTCTGGAACATTAGGACATTTGTGGTTGGGGTAATGGTGATTAGTGCAGAAAGCACTCATGCAGATGCAGTCTTGCCTAATAAGTCTAAATCAGAGCACCAGTTTCTGCAGGGAGACTAAATGACAGCAGTTATAATTATAAATGAGGCATTTTCCCCTAGTAAGTGGCTGGGGCTCCCATGCTGCTAATGTCCTTTGAGGGCAGCTAGACCAAAACATGAGGCAATCAGCTTAAATTTCTTGCTCAGGCTGCAGGAGTATGACTTTACCTGTCTTAACATGAGGCTCCACCATGCTATCTACACACACTGACGTCTAAGAACCTACAAGAATACCTGCATCACTCCCTTTATGTAGATTCTGTTCTTCTACTTCTCAACGGTCCTGGTGGGTGCACTAAGTATTGAGGTCTCTTTATTGCCTAGGATCTGAACAAATTGACAAATAAGATAAAGGAATAGCGACAGAGGAGAAGTATCAACTTTATTACTCAGAAAAGCTAGGTTGGAAAATGTTTAGTAATCGAGTTAAATATGATTGTTAACTCAATGCTGGATGGTCTGGAACATTAGGACACTGTGGTAGGGTAATGGTGATTAGTGCAGATAGCAGTGATGCAATCTTTCCTGTTATGTCTAAAAGAGAACACCAGTTTCTGCAGTGAGACTAAAGGCTGGGTCTAGCCATCCGTGTCACTGATCAGATGGGCCAGACCAGCAGAGCCTGCCTCTGTAGAAGTGGAGGTTGCTTGCTTCCTGTGGGCAGTTTGTTCCCAAGGTGAAGGATGAAAGGAGCTGAATAGATCCAGTTTATGAAACACAAACTCACTAGCCAATTGGACTAATTGACCTCCTCCAGAAGAAGCATTTTCCTTCCATGTCTGCATTTTCTTGCTTTGTTCCTTTTAGAACATCTGTAATGATGCCTAGCTATGGAAGTGGAGGATTTAGCTCACTGATCCTTCCTTCTCTTCCCAACATCATTCCGTTACAGTTTTGGTTAAATAAGTATTCAGTGTGTACATTTTACAATTATGTAACTGACCTTTATCTCTTTAGAATTTTGTTTTTATTGAAATTAATGAATGTCCCCTTGTTCCCTTCACTTTAGTTTTTTATAGTCTTAACTAGAGGCCCAGTGCATGAATTTGTGCACAGGTGGGGTCTGGCCGGCTCGCCTAATCACAGCCAATCGGGCTGGGCTGGCCAGGGAGAAGGGCCACGGGAGGTTGGCTGTCCTTGTCCCTGACCAGGGTGGGGGGACCGATCGGAGGTGGGGTCGACTGGGGGGAGGGGCCTGAAGACCCACTGAGCTGGAGCTGAGCATGAGCCCCAGGCTTCCCAGGGAGGACGGCCTCAGCAAGGAAACAGAAACCACCAGAACGCTCTGCAACCAGGCCCGGAGCTCCCTTTGGCCAGGCGGACTCAGAGCTGGTGTCTCTGTGTGCACATTAGACACAGCCCAGCACTCCCACTTGTCTGTTGGTCAAATCCATTGCATCAAAAAACTTGTTCCCCTTCTTCTCTTTGGGCTCTTACAACAAATACAGGCCAATTGGAAGATGTGGGCCTAAGTGGCAGAGCCAGGCCCCACAATCACCCGGAATTTAGGTCTAAGACAACTGGGTGGCAATCTTCACAGAACAGAACACACTGTTTCAGAGTCTTGATTCTCTCCTAAAATGTGCCCAGCTGCTCCTCTTTAGCCAGGATAGACTGAACTAAGGAACCAAAGACTGAGTTTCCTTTGAGGTGGGATCCACTGGGATCCGGCTGGTGGCAAGGCCCCTCACAGGTGGCTGCCTTCCCCCCAAGCTCGGTGTGGTCTGAGCTGGTCCGCTTCTGGTGGTGCCAGGTCCTGGGCTGCTGGTCGGGTGGAGGTCCACAGGGTTTCTCTCCACCGCCTTCCTGGCCTCCCAAGCAATACCCTCAGGCCTGGCATGCCAGGCGACTGTCGCTAGAGCCAGACTTGGAGAGCGAAGGAGCTGGCCCGTGCCACGAGGGGCCCACAGGTGGCCACGCCATGCCCCGCACCCCATTTCTCAGTTTTGCTCATGTGGATCAGGCCAAAGCCCACTGCCTGAAACTGCACCATGTAGCATGTGGGGAGGGTCGCAGCAGGGAGAGGGGCACCTGACCTGCCAGCCTCGGTGACGATCATCTCGGTGCCCAGCTGATTGAATTCGTCCCCCAGAGCCTTAATCTCAAGCTGCACACTCATGCTGGCCACCTTCACGTTCTTCTTACCAGCACCTGGGAGGGTCGCAGCAGGGAGAGGGGCACCCTGACCTGCCAGCCTCGGTGACGATCATCTCGGTGCCCAGCTGATTGAATTCGTCCCCCAGAGCCTTAATCTCAAGCTGCACACTCATGCTGGCCACCTTCACGTTCTTCTTTACCAGCACCTTAGCGGTGGCCGCGCAACTGGCTCTGGACCTCTCAGACTCGACAGCAGCACTGCTGGCAGCCCCTGCGGCTGGTGCGTCATAGCAACTGGTCGTTCCGATCAATCTGCCGTAATGGTCGCTGCGCTTTTATTATATAGATACTAATGGAGCCTAGAGCTTTTCCCCAGTTGCATTAGTATATCTATATGAAGATACTCAACATTTACCTTCACTTATGTATTTATTTTTGTTAATCCTTATCTGAGGATATTTTCCCATTGATTTTTAGAGAGCGTGAAAGGGGAGGGGGGGGAGAAAGAGAGAGAGAGAGAGCGAGAGAGAGAGAGAGAGAGAGAAACAAACATCAGTGTGAGAGAGACACTGATTGGTTGCCTCCCTCATGTGCCCTGACCAAGACTGGGGATCGAACCTGCAGCCCAAGTAGGTGCCCTTGACTGGAATCGAACCTGGGACACTTCAGTCCGCAGGCCGATGCTCTATCCAATGGGTCAAACCAGCGAGGGTGAAAATTTATATTCTTAAAGCAGATTTTCCTGGCCTTGAGGGTGGACTTCTTGTATATTAGCTCTCTTTATGTAGCTCTGCTTTAGAGGTTGACCTTCACCATTATCCTTAAGGTATTCCTCATCTAGCAACATATTAGATGTCCTATTATTCAGATAAAATTGGATTATACTATAAAAACTCGTGTAAAATTTTTTATTTTTGTTTGTTGTGTATACTTCAATTGTATTGGCTATATAATGATTTTATGAAAGCACCCCTATTCATACCTTTAGGTTATTTCTATTTTTTACTACTTAAAAACATTTTTCTTCTGCTAATTTCTTATAGCTAAATCTTGTCGACACACCTTTGATTGATTATTCCAAGAGTTTATTAGGAAAAATTTTAAGTATATGGTAAATTTGAATTTTACAATACACACTTATATATCCGCTACTTAGATTATATAATTAACGTTTTAATATGCTTAACTTTACTATATATCTATCCAATTATCCATTTCTCTTTAGTTAATTTTTTAGTATATCTTTAGAAAGAGTCATGTGTTTTTTAGGCCCATTTTAGTATTTTTTAAATTTATGGTAAGTAGTTCTCTAGGAAAATTTTTATTACTAATTTACACTCTTACCAGTGGTTATTAGCATACTTTGAATGCTTGTCAACACTGGGTTTTATTGTTTTTATGTAACTTTGTTAGTTTATGATATATAGGTTGTTATTAAAGTAAGCTTCTGATAGTTTGTTTTGATGATCTAATCTCCACTGTAGATTTTGAAAATAAATACATGTAATTTGTTCTTTGTCATACTTAATGCTTTTAAATGGGAGCATTGTGCTTGTTCATTAATTATTTAAGGTACAGTTGGGATTTCAATTAGGAAATCACTAGTCCTAACTAGAGTATTAGCTGTAGCATATTCAGCCTTCCTTCTTTTTCACAGAGTAATTGAGCCGAAGGAGAGAAATAATTCATTGGGGGCAATCAGAAGTAGAACTAGAATCTCATGAATTACATTCTTTGACTCGCTGGTACTTTCCTTCACTTAATGGACCTTTGTTGTTTTTTTTGTTTTTTTTTTAAATTCTTTATTGTCTCCTTTTCCCCCCATTGACCACTCCCCGGCGACCCCCACCCCTTGCAAATGCCTCACCCCCCTAGTGTCTGTGTACTGGACCTTTGTTTTATTCCTTTTTTTTGATGTCCCACTCAGTGTAACACTGTAACTGATAGAAATGGTAAGTAATCCTCTAGGAAAATTTTTATTACTAATTTACACTCTATTTCAAGAGAAATAAAGATGAATTTGAAGTGTTAAGCAATCTAAGCACGTAGGAGGGCATACAATAGTTGAAGCAAGGAAGTAGATTAGAAGGTGGAAAGGCTTACACAACTGTTTTAAATTATAGACTACTTGTATTTTATTTTAAAAGTAGTTTATGAACAATTATTTAACTTTGGTATTGCTGGAAATATGTTACCTTTGTAATTTTCTAAGCATTTGGGCAACTCTTTTTGTTTACAGCTGGGCTCAAAATGCAGAGAACTCAAAGATATTCATTTCGGCCAGTGTTACAAGATCTCAGATGAAGGCATGATCGTCATAGCTAAGGGCTGTCTGAAATTGCAAAGAATATACATGCAGGAAAACAAATTAGTAAGTACTTATATCATTTTTGTGTTTTTAATTTTGTTTCTTACCTTTATTATTCCTTAGAACTTAGCTTATAAATTTTCTTCTACTTATTATTTTTGGTTGTTTAGAGGCAAATATTACCTAAGAGAAGAATTGTCTCAAAACAATGATTTTACAGATTGATTCTCCAGCTGTATAGGTGCTTGTATGTGGCACTTGCATAACAGTCGACCACTCAGGTATATTGGAAACATTAAAGTTTAGTCGTCAAATACAAGTATGTGGTTGTAGTTTCTTCGGATTCTCCTAGAGATTGTAATAATTCAGGATATTTAGAATTTTTTAATCAGGAAGATACACACTTAAAAGTAGAGTCTTTAACTAAATATGATGAAAATGGGATTCAATAAATTGAGGTAAATAATCTTAGCAATTACATAAACTTTATATTTTAAGCACACACATATAATCTATTCACCCTTAATGTATTATGTGTAATATCTTTAAAGCCATTTTGTTTTCTTTTATTGAGATATAATTCACATATCATAAAATTCACCTTTTTAAAGTGTATTAAGTCAGTGATTTTAGTATATTCACTAAGTTGTACAATCATCTTCACTAGTTCTAGAATATTTTCATCACCCCAAAAAGAAACCCTATGCTCATTAGCCATCGTTACCCACTTCCCCCTTTCTTCGGCCCTGGAAACTGGCAGTCTACTTTCTATTTTCTGTGGATTTGCCTGTTCTAGACATCTCATGTAAATAGAATCACATGCGTTTTTTGTGTCTGGCTTCTTTCTCTTAGCATAATGATTTCATGGTTCATCCCTGCAGCATGTGACAGAGCTTCATTTCTTTTTTAGGACTGAATAATATTCCAAATCCATTTTATTTTGATGTAATAGATGCATAGTACAAGTTAACAGAAACAGTTGTCTCTGGGGAGGTACTAGTATAATTTTCAATGCTGAAAAAAGGTGCACTTTGAAATAGGCAAAATGGCCTTGAATATATAGAATATTTACAAAGAAGATTTGCTTTCTAATTGTCTCCCCAAAATAAAGAGATCTTTTTGTTGCCCCATCGAGTTAGTTTATAAAATTTGATAAATACGTCTTATATGTTAATGTAAGTTTTGAAAGGTTTCTAGAAGCATCATCAATTCAAATAAGACAGTGCTATTTCAAAAGATTCTAGTTAGAAATATTAAAACACTATGAATTAAAAGTAAATGCTTTTGTTACTACAATTATATTTATCTCTGAAATTATATGATAAAAATATTTCACTCTTTACTACATTTAGTATAAACTTAATAATTACTACTGAGGCAGTATGATCTTGTAGAGAGAATAAGGTCTTCTGGGTTAGAGAAATTGAAGTTTTGAATCCTGGTATTCACTTACTTGCTTTGTGAGTCTGGGAAAGTTGCTTAATCTCTCTGAGCCTCATTTGCAAATGAGGTTAATACTTGTTTTTTTGCTCATTGTGGCTTTGCAGATTAAATGACATAATGTCCTAAAGTTGTCTAGTACAAACTCTGACACCTGAAAAATTAGTAGTTTTATGAGGTTATGACTGTATTTGTTGGCTATTGGTTTCCACTTTACACTCAAGATAAATTAAAGGATGGTAATCCCCACTTAAAATTTTTGTATTTATCATATAATGGGAATAATTTGTTGAGTGAATATTTGTTTTCTTGTTGATTCAACACAGAGAAACATTTTTTTTTGACACATTAAAATTTTAGTGGCTTCCCAAAGGAATTAACTGTATATGTTATATGATAAAACCCTAATATGCTAAGTGTCATATTGGTTGGCTGTTCAACCAATCAAAATGTTATATGCTAATGATACGCTAAGGCTGTTCAACTGCTTGCTATGATGTACACCGACCACCAGGGGGCAGATGCTCCAACCAGTAGGTTAGCTTGCTGCTGGGGTCCAGCTGATTGGGACTGAGTGAGATGGTCCAGACACGTCCTGGAGCCCTCCTGCAGCCCCTCCCCAGCTGGCCAATTTTCTGCGTCCCTCCCTGGCCCTGATTGTGCACCAGTGGGGTCCCTTGACCTGGCCTGTGCCCTCTCACAATCCAGGACCCCTCGGGGAATATTGGAGAGCTGCTTTCAGCCTGATCCTGCAGGCCATGCCGAGGGATCCCCACTGAATTTGGGCCTCTAGTGTTTTTTATAACTGTGTATGTTTTGAAGGTTCTAGTTATATTCACATTAGATTTTTCCTAGTATTGTGTGCCATTAAAAAGTTGTTATATATTTAAATGCCAAGGGAATCAGTTTTGTATATAGGGTTATTTAGTAAATATTTGATTTTATTGGAAGCTTGAAGTAATTTCACCAGATATTAAAGTTCAGTTTAATAAAGTATTTTTTCCAATTTAAGATTCATAGAAAGAAAAATTTAGAATAATTTGAACTCTTTATATTGGACAGTTGAGTTATTGATAACCTTCCATAGGAACTTTGCTTTGTGTTTTGGGAATTTATGAAATAAGGAGAAATACTTGAATTACTTGCAAAACTATAATTTTAAGTAGTTGGGTTAACTCTGATAAGTATTATTAGTAGTCATTTAATAATGAATATTTAAAACTGGGTAAGTAGAAGTAAAAGTGGTTAAAGGCAAATAATATGTATATATGCAGATATATAATTGATATTGCATGTCATTACAAATAGGAAATATAGACATGGTTAAATAGGACAAATATCTTAAATTAACAACTAATAGAAATATTTAGGAGAATACTGTGTCTGTAAGGATGCCAACAGAATTTAATCAGTGCAGATATTAATCAAGTTATTTCGCTAATAACTCTTATTAAATTGAATTTTCTCAAAAGAGTCTTAGAGCTTTGTTGTGCAGTCTATGTAGCATCTATGCTATGTAGCATATCAGCGCATAGTGTTTTTATTTAAATATAAACTTTGTTGACTTTTACACAAAGTAGCAAGATATTCAAATATCCTCGTTTGTGGCACTGGTTTAAGTAAGATAAACTTTAGAATAAGGGAAGGATGCCTGTATTTACCAAAGGGAAAACTTTCATTCAGATGGAAATTGAGGACAGTGACTTGACATTTTAAGACTAATGAATTATGGTGAGGCAGAGTTGAGGATTTACATCTAAAATCTTTTGAAAAGAGAATGAGTTTCTGTTTTAGTCATTTTTGAGTTAGAGGGATGCCATGTACCTACATGGATGTATTTTGCATTCACTATAAAACTCTTGTATAGAATCTAGAAATAGATGTGAGGAATACAAACTATAGTGAGGGTCTAGCATATTATATACATAATTTCCCTGTTTCTGGCGATAGCTTTCATATCACTCCTGTGCACTACTTGCTCCAAAATTATTTAAAAGGCATTTTTAGTTTGCGTGTATAGTTATCCATGGTCTAGGAACATCATTAAGTATATTATCTCTGCTTCTTTCTTTGCTTCAAATTCAGCTTCTCTATTTTTTGAACAGAGGAGCTCTTTGGCCAGATTTTTATTCAGTTGTAAAATGATGGGGTCAGATAGATTGTCATTTGTTATCCAATCTCATGTTTTAAAGTACTTTCCTAGGATTTTATGAATTATTATGAAAATAGCTTCTATCCTGAGTCCCATGGTCATCATATTTGATACTAGATTATATGTGTTGTGTGTATTTGTTATTGTTTTAAAAAATATTTTCTGCTTTGTAGAGTTGGGACCTATTGTAGATTTCTGAATTATCAAGAAATTAGTACTTTATTATGAATGGATTTTAGGAAGTTTTAGGGAAATGTTTCCTGATTAAAATTTGATTTTTCTGAAAGTTAATTTTGACCTTGTATTTTATTTCAACCTTCTGGTGAATTGTTTTTTTTTTTTTAACTAGTGTTTTAATTCTGTGACATCTCCTAGAGTCCTTTGGCTGCTGCTGTAACATTATTTGTAACATTGTTTTTTATTGTTTTTAATTTTATTATCCTTTGGAGGCTTATACTGATGACATAGGATCTAAATTCAGCTCCAGGCTTTCTTCCAGATGGGTTATTGAGGCAAAAGCCTTGTGTGAATCAAACTGAGCTCAGTTCCTTGATTCTGCAGTTTCTTACCCATTTGATTTGGGTGATCTTAAATTTTGTACGTTCTTTTCCTTGTTTGCAGAAAGGATATAATCTTACTACAAACATGCTCTTGTGAGGATCAGACTAAGTGAAATTAAGAGGGAAAGTACCAAATGTGTCTCATGGTCTCAAACAGGACATCTTCAATAAGGGTTACTTTTCTTCTTCTCCCTACCAGAATTTACTTTCTGGAGCCTACCAGTTTGAATTGGGCTGTGTCAGTGCCTAACATCACCCATTAGCTTACCTGCAGTTTAATTATTTTTTGCTGCTTGCTTTGATTTGAGGCTCTTGCAACAGTGAAGTAAATAGGCTGGTGGTAATGTTACCATCAGCTGGGCTATGTAAGGTAAACATTTGCATCAAAGCCTAAATAGTAGTAGTTAACTCAGTATTATATGTGTTTCTTCATTCCTTTACTTTTCCACTCACAGTTCATATAGTAAAGGATTTGGTCCTCTCCTCCCCTCGGTTCTCCCACTACACTGCTATCTTACTTCTCAAGCATTCCTTGTGAGGTAAGTTTACTTGTAATCTCAGACATAAATAATTCATATTTGTGAGGGATTCTATTTTCACGTCAGCCTCCAAAGCCTCCCAGAGTAGATATTCACCTTCATTGCCTCTTCCCTTATGTTTCTTTGGAAATATTTTTATTGAGTTTTAGAGAGAGGGGTAGGGAGAGGGAGAGCATAACATTGATCGGCTGACTCCTGCACACCCCTACCACAGATTGAGCTCATAACCTAGGAATCGAACCAGCAGCTTTTTGGTGCATGGGACAATGCCCAACCACCTGACCACTCCAGCCAGGGCGCCCTTTACCCTCTTAATGGATGAGGTATTTACTTGCACGCAGAGTATAGTTTCCAGTGAACAGTGATGCATGA